CCATCGGCGCCAGGCGACGCCGCACTAGATGAATTGGCATGTTCTGGCAGATCCAGAGGGAAAGGAGAACGTGGCCGAGGTGCCGCCATCCCAGACGAGCCAGGCGGCAGCGAACGCGATCGTGGGAAGGCCCACGTGTCACGACTTCGTCCCGTCCTTCTTGCGCCTGTCCGTCTCTTCCGCGAACAGTCGCTGTTGTTTGAGTGTGAAGGCCTCCGTCTTCTGCTCCTCCGCGATGAACTTGGCGAAGTCGCCTGTGGCCGCCGCCGTTCCCGAGTCCAAGGTCGATGCGATCATCATCTCGAGGCCTCGGAAGTCGGGACTCTTGGGCGAGCGCCGAACAGCGCGCTCGATGTGCATCACCCTTCGCGCCAGCACCTCCACGCCTGCCAGGCGGTAGATCTCCAGCTGGTCGAAACACAGCGTGTGGTGGAAGATGCTGAGGAGGGAGGCACGGTGGTGGGCGACGGCCGTGTCGGGGCCAATGCCCGAGGCCCGGACCCAGTAGTCGTGGTAGGTGCCGACCGTCTCCCCCGTCGAGCGGATCATCGTCATGAGCTCCATCGCCGCGCTCGGGCCCCTGAAAGGCCAGTCGGCGTCGGAGGAACCGTTCGCAGCGGCACCCGCACCAGTCGGCACCCGCTTCTGCAGCGCCGCCATCGCCTCGCGGAACTCGATGTACCGGTGCTCCTGCCCGTCCCTGACGATCGGCATCACCCGCGGGTCGCGACCCGCGCCCGACCTCTTCTCCTCCTTCCAGTCCTCGAGGTCTGCGGGGGCGACCCGCTCCAAGGCCGTCCAGCGGTCGTCGATGAGCCCCAGGGCCGTCGACCCCCGCTGCACGAAGCGCGCTGGGTTCCCCGACACGGCGGCATCGATCGGCTCCCCGAACTGGTCCGCGCCCGTGTCCGAGACCACCCAGACCGCGACACCTCGCCCCGGAGGGGCGGCCACGCCCCCGATGAGCACCGCCAGCGCCTCGCCCTGCTACTGGAGGGCCTGCAGCTGCTCCTCGGGGAGGTCGCCGAACATGTAGATGTCGCCCCGCACCCGCGCGGGCACCTCGCAACCTCGGGCGAGGGGCACCACCCGATGGTTGGCCAAGTCGAGGACCTCCACGTTGTAGTCCGGGGTCGAGACGACCCACTTCGTGCCATCGCCCACCCTGTTGAGGAGCAGGCGGTGGTGCCACGTGAAGTTGTCGTCGTCCGGGAAGTCGATGGCCACCTGCGGGCTGGCGACGTCCAAGGCGAGGTCGCGAGGCCGCGCCGCCATTACTTGCGGCTACCCCGAGGTCGCCAGACCTCACTCTCGTCGGGCGTCTGAAGTCCTGACCGACTCGATGGACTCGGAGGCCCACCAGCGCCCAGAGCAGGCAGCCCACGAACAGGAGCGACGCCCGCCACGGCCGGCGCCGCGCCGAGGGCGACTCGGCCGATAGGCGGGACGCCGAGGCTCGCCCCGCCCTCCGCCGCTGCTGCGAAGCGGCCGTTGCCCCACCAGCGACACGCGCGGGCCGCCCACAGGAGCAGCGCCGCGCCCGCAAGGGGCAGAAGCCCGAGCAACCAGAGCCCGAGGCCGGCGCCGTGCGCCGCGGTGCAGGCCGGGCACGCCGGCACGATGACCTCCGGGCACGGAGGCGCCTCCGGGCAGGAGGCCGGGGGGCAGACCGCCGCCGGGCAGATCGGCTGCGGGCAGTGGTCCAGCTCGTGCGCGACCACACACGGCGCCGGCTCCAGCGGCGCGGGGCGGCCCGAGAGGCCACCGAGGAGCGAGCCCGCAAACCCAGCGATCGCGGCGAACGCTGGATGGGCGGAGCGCATCACACCTGGCTCAACCCTGAGCCAAAAACTTGAGATGGGGCCGGCTACGATCGTGACAGCGATAATATGGCACACCATCAATAGGCATATAGCTATAAACATATATGGAGGAGAAAAACGCCGTGTGTCAAGAAGACACGTGAGTAAACATATGTGTGAGCATAACAGTGTACATATGATATGTATGTATGTATGTATGTATGTATGTATGTATGTATGTGTGTATGTTTGTTTGTTTGTTTGTTTGTTTGTTTGTTTGTTTATTTGTTTGTTTGTTTGTATGTATGTATGTATGTATGTATGTATGTATGTATGTATGTATGTATGTATGTATGTATATACGTCCTGCCAGCCCTCCTCCTAAAGCCCTCCTCCCTTCCGGGAAGGGAGGGCCCAACAAAACGATCGGCGTTTGCGTGCCAATTCGTTGTCCTCTGCGGAACTGGGCGCCTTGGCGCGAGCGGCCGAACGATCCCTGCAGCGGGACACTCTGGCAACACGGTTCCCGCCGCCAAAACCGTCGGTTGAACGACGGCACCGCGCAAAGGCCCCATCCCCTCACTGAAAATTGTTTCGGGTCGGGCCGCGAGGTGGCAGAGGATCCTCGCCCAAGGCGGCGCCAAGAGTGCCTCCGATGCTCCAAGATGGCATCCAAGGCGGCACGAAGTAGCCGAAACAACTCAAGAAAGCTTCCGACATACATTCAAGAGACCCGACGAAAGCCACAATACGGTTCCAAGTGCTCTCGCCCCCCGCCCCAGGACGGTAAATTATGACTGCCGCATCGTAATGTCGCTTCCGATGCGTTTTTGAAGCCTCAAAATTTTCATCAAGATGGCCTAAGAGAGGCCCCAGCGGGGCCCGAAAGGTGCGCCAGACGGACCCAAGAGCGCCAAAGACAGCCCAAGTGCGCCCCAAGTGGGCCCCAAGAGGTGATCTGAACGGCACCGGAAGGACGCTAAACGTTAGGGCTCCCCCCGTGTTGATCGATAGCCTCCAAAATGTCCCATCAGGCCCCCCACCTCCAGGGTTCCCGAGAGCAGTCCCAAGAAAGCCCCAAGACGGCCCCAAGACGCCCCAAAAGAGCCCCAAGAGGACCCCTCTGATCCCCCCAAAACACAAAGAGGGCTTCAAGCGGCGACTTCGCATGCTTTGTTTTCGTCCTCGTTGTCCTCCTCCCCCTCTTCCTCCTCCTCCCCCTCCTCCTCCTCCTCCTCCTCCTCCTCCTCCTCCTCCTCCTCCTCCTCCTCCTCTCCTCCTCTTCCTCCGCCTCCTCCTCGTCCTCGTCCTCCTCCTCCTCTCTCCTCCTCCTCTTCCTCCTCCCCCTCCTCCTCCTCCTCCTCCTCCTCCTCCTCCTCCTCCTCCTCCTCCTCCTCCTCCTCTACCTCCTCTTCCTCCTCCTCCTCCTCCCTCCTCCTCCTCCTGTTCCTCCTCTTCCTCCTCCTCCTCCTCCTCCTCCTCCTCCTCCTCCTCCTCCTCCTTCCCTCCCCCACGAGGGCCCAAGGGGTGACCAGAAGAGGCCTTCCAAGGTCACCCAATTGCTCCCAGAGATCTATATGTTCACTCTGTTTGCCCGCTTCGTTTCACTCCACGTGTCGCTTCGTCCCCTTTCCCGTCAAACATCATGGGCAAGGTTGTTGAATGGGATGGCGGGGGTAGTCTTTGATCGCGAGCGCAGGCGGAAGGGCCGCGCGCCGTCCAAAGCTACAGCTAACAAGCACGAGCCTAAATTGCAGACTGGAGAGAGAGAGAGAGAGAACAAACACACACACACACACACATACACACACACACACAAAACAATGACAGCAAGAGAGCAGCGGGAGGAGAGATTAGCCGGGGCGGGCCGCGCGGCGCTCACGGAGGGGGCGCCATCGGCAGCTAGCAACCGCCGGGAGGTGCACGCCAAAGTGGCGGGCAATTCGCTGGCAGTGTGGTGTCCTGTGGTGACTGCGGCGTGGGGCAACCCCGCGGGAGATAGCGGAAGCCGCAAGCGCCTGCGCCTGTCCGAGGGGCAGCACGCGAGTGGCTGAGCGCGGCAAGGGCCACGCATCCCTGCAAGATGAGCAAGCCTTCTGCGCGTCGGAAGCAGCCACTGCGGGCGGCGGCGGAAAGAGCGACTGGCGACGATCGAACAGCAGTTCGCGCCGCGGGACGGGCACGCCGAGAGCAGACTGAAGGCAGCCAGCCGCGCAGTGAAATGGCCAGCGTGCGTGCAGGCGCTCGACGGACGGGAGTTTGGGTCGCCAAGGCCGGCACGGCGACCGACGTGCCGGATCCCGCCCGGGAGACGGCCCAGGGGCGCTCCGTTGTGCCGGACAGCGGCGCGCCAGGACCCAGCTCGCCGCGGCGGCAAACCGCGGCAGCGGGAGGGGAAAGGGCCAACCTTCTGCGCCGAGGCGGCGGCGGACCAGGGCGGAAAAGCAGGGGCAAGGAAGCAGCGCGGCTGGGAGCGCGCAACCGAGGCCACGGCATCGAGGAGGGACCCCTGCAGAATTAAGCGCGAGCGCCAGGCTGCAATAGCAGCGCGGGGGGCGCGGAGCGCGCCGGGGGGAGTGCCCTGAAGAAGGGCGGCGGAGAGGCACGGAGGGTGACGGGGGGGCCCTCGCCCGTCGGGGACGCGACGGGTCCCCAGCGAGAGAGAGGGCCGTCGTGGACGCGGCTGGCGTCGGCCCTGGGCCTGCCTCGACTGCAGGGGGGGGCTGCTGTCTATGGGGGGTCTGCGCCTGATAAGGATATGGGGGGGGCCGATCGAGACCAGTGACTGGGCTCCCGCGCCCTGCTCTGAGTGATCACTGCCTCCATCCCCACCGTCAGGCTGGTCCTCCATGGGGCTGCGGCCCGGATCCGATCTGAGCCGCGGGCCAGAGCAGCACCGCGAGCGAGCTGGTATCGCGGGCGCGCGCTGGCGGAGCGACGGGGCCCAGGGCCGCGGGAACGCGGTGCAGCGTCCGGGCGCCCCCTTGAGCGCGGGAGAATGGCCCGAGGGGGCCAGGCCCGCAGACGGCTTGAGCCAGGCTACGGAATGGTGGGGATACGCGAAGCGTGAAGAATTGATTCCCTGAATCAGGTCTGAGGAACGGCCCGAAAACCACCCAGGGCCCCTGTTGAACCCAAAATTGTGCCAATCTCCGCGTATTGACTGCATGCTGATGCAATATGGTCGATCTTCCGGTCCTCCATCTCCACAGGAGCGTGGATGTGGTAGATCGTGTGCTGGAAGTCCTGGGGCCGAGAAGTCCATTACGGACGCCACACATTGTCAGGACGCATGGCAAAAATGCAGAACACGTCCTCCACGTCCTCCTCCTCCCCCTTTTCCTGCTCGTGCTCCATGTTCTTCCTCGCGCCTCGGATCTCCTCACCATTCATTCCCCAATCAGTACTTGTACTGAATGGGTCCTAGCAGATCTTGAGACTGCAAGCGAATCTACGGAGCCGATTTCGGTGGGCGGCCGGGTTCCCATGGGTTCCCGAGCTCAATTGTTCCGTTCCGGGGTTCCTGTCAGAGTCAAATTTCGGTAAACGGCCAGGTTCCCACGGGGTCCCGGGTCCTTGGTTCCCCAGTCTTTGCAACCGCGGTCAGAATGAACGAGTGGATACTGGAGTGTAAAGAGCACATGCCCTCGAGTACAGAGCAGAGAAGAGCAGAGCCAATAGAAAATAACGATTAAAAAATACAATGCGCAACAACCTGGAGGCAACCGCAAACAGCGTAGAGTGACAGAGAACAACAGAGAGAGAGAGAGGGAGAAACGGAGGAAATGAGCATGCATGGATGAGAACAGAGATCACACAGTCAAGCCAATGAATAGGGCGTGGGTTGGTGCCGATTGCACAACGTTTTAGAACGATGTGGGAGATCCGTTGGGCCGTCTTTGGGCTCTTTTGAAGGCCTCTTGGGCATTCTTGGCATAATCTCGGAGGCCTCTTGAATCTCTTGGAGGCCTCGTAGGGCGTCTTACTGAAGGGTCCTAGCGGATGTTTCCCAATCGGTGCTTGCACTGGATAGTACTACAGTCGACCCGTGTAAAGTAAAAAACCTTCCCAAGGTACCCTTGCCTCCTCGGTCCATCCTTGACCACATTTGCTGGCGTCGCCCCGGTCAAAAAGTCTCGAAATGGACGTCCTAGGCCCTTCCATCCTTATCGCGCATCCTCATGATACGGGCCGGCTGTAGCGGATATTGAACAAGTAGGCGAATGTGGGGCGCCGAATTCGGTAGGGGGCCGGGTTCCCGCGCTCCTGGTCCCAAGTGCCAACGTTCTGGGTGTCGGACCGATTACGGTGGGCGGTCAAGCTCGCGGGCTCGTTGTTCCAAGCTTGGACTTCCCAGCGTCGTACCGTCCCCCGGTCTTCGAGCTCTTGGCTGCGGCTAATTAGGTCCTTACTCACTCCGCGTACTAGAAAATATAATACAGGATTGAAGCGCGTATGCAAACAGGAAACTGTACAAATCTGTATAAATGTACAATCGAACAGAAAGCATAACGAATGTATTGCGCAGTCGGCACTAATGCAATACGAATGCGTGGGTGAAGCGGGAGAGGGAAAGGGAGCATGTACAAATACGTATAGATATATGCATATCTGTATACGCACGCAGGACGATAAAAATTCCGGTGGATGTGAAAATGGCAATGGTGAGTTCGATAAATAGCATCGGTGCCGCCGACCGGACGGCGTCTGGACGAGCTGCTCGCAGCTCGCCCAGGAGGAGAGAAACGCATTCATTTGGAGTGGGGCCCCCGCGCGCGGAAAAACTGATGGGAGTGACCGCACCCCCTCCCCCCGTAGAATCTTAACACGGGCGGGTCCTGGGGTCCGCGGATCCGATTTCGTCAGTTTCTCGATTTTAAACGGGGTAGACACCAGATCCGCCCCTAAAGCTGGGGCCGGAAGCGGACCCACAAAATCTGAAACCGGATCCACTCGGACGGAAATCGGATCCACCGAGGCAAAAACCGAAACCACAACTGGACCCGTTTGACTTGTATGGGATTCGACGGCAGTTATCCCATACGCGTCTGCTCAAAACTCCAAATCGTCGAAACAACGCTCATCTTGGGAATGGGCACGCCGCATCCCACTGGTAGTCCGCTGGGTCAGGAGACGCAAGGCCGAAACGCATGGGCGTTTGGGCTTTCAGACTTGTTGGTTACCACGTGGCGGAACACCACATCTTACAGGCAATCCGTTGGGTCAAGGGACGCATGGCCGAAACGCATGGGTGTTTTGGCCTTCGGACCTGTTGGTTACCACAGAGCCGACACACCACATCTCACAGGCAGTCCGCTGGGTCAGGAGACGCAAATCCGAAACGCATGGGCGCTTTGGCCCTCGGACTTGTTGGTCAGAACACAGCCGACACACCACATCTCACAGGCAGACCGTTGGGTCAGGAGACGCAAGGCCGAAACGCATGAGTCTTTTCGTTTTCGGACCTGCCGGCTACCACAGAGCCGACACACCACATCGCACAGGCAGTCCGTTGGGTCAGGAGACGCAGGGCCACAACGCATGAGCGGTCTGGCCTTCGGACTTGTCGGTTACCACATAGCCGACACACCACATCTCAAAGGCAGTCCGCTGGGTCAGGAGACGCAGGGCCACAACGCATGGGTGTTTTGGCATTCGGATTCGTATGTTACAACAGAGCCGACACACCACATCTCACAGGCAGTCCGCTGGGTCAGGAGACGCAAATCCGAAACGCATGGGCGTTTTGGCTGTCGGACCTGTTGGTTACCACATAGCCGACACACCGCATCCCACTGGCAGTCCGTTGGGTCAGGAGACGCAAGGCCGAAACGCATGGGCGTTTTGGCCTTCGGACCTTTTGGTTACCACGTGGTGGACACACCACATCTCACAAACAATCCGTTGGGTCAGGAGACGCAGGGCCGAAACGCATGGGCGTGTTGGCCTTCGGACCTGTTGGTTACCGCAGAGCCGACACACCACACCTCACAGGCAGTCCGTTGGGTCAGGAGACGCAAAGCCGAAACGCATGTGCGTTTTGGCCTTCGGACATGTTGGAGGCTATACAACCGACGCACCACGTCTCACTGGCAGCCCGTTGGGTCACAGGAGACGCAAGGCCAAAACGCACTTACGCAGGACGAGAACTGCTCCTCTTGGGGTGAACATGGCGATGATGAGTTCGACAAGTAGAATCGGCGCCGCCGACCGGTCGGCGTTTGGACGAGCTGCGTGCAGCTCGACCAACTTGTTTTTGAACGCGAGTGCGCTGCAGCCCCGCACTCCGTACACGCGCGCTCGGCTCGCGTCGGCGAGGGGCCAGCATCAGGAGGGCGACAGCCCCAAACCTCCCGTTCAGAAGGAAATTGGCCTCTCGTTGCTTCCGGACTGCAGGAGGCAAGTTATCAAAGGCCTGATATCCTGCGCGATTTCGGCGCGGCGTCCCACGGGCACCTCAACGGAGTCGATGAAGACGCTGTGATGAACAGGCGCTCGCGCGGGCTGCCTGTAACGGGCGATCGTCCGAGCAAGGCCTCAGAAACGGCGGCCCACGCAGCTTTCCGAGCAGCGTGGCGCATGCAGCAGCGGACGTGTTCCCGTGCTGCAAGCGGACCGCATCCCGCTGAACCACTGGGCGCAACTGCCTGCGTTTGAACACATTCAGCAGTGGCTGCCCGGTACTTACCTGCGTAGCCGCGCTGTCAGAGAACACGTGGTCTGCAGGGATGGGAACAGACACCGTGGCCGCGAAGATCGATGCCGATGTCGTCGTCTACGGCTACCGCGCGAACCACGTGGCGACCCGCCGCGTGCGCCTCCAGTCAATACGCGACGCCTCCTGCCGCGGCGTCGCCGGAGGCCGACCGACCTCCCAGGCAGCGCCACCAAGAGCCTCCTCCTTTGGCGTCGTCGCCGCAGCGCCTCCGAGAACTCAAACGAACAAGTTCGAGCAGACGTCGCTGAGGGAGGTGCTCCCACGGCGCACCCGAGCGTCTGGCCCACGGGTCAAGTTCGCTCCTTTCTTTTTGTCCGGCGGGCGCTGACCGAGCCAGCGGGCGCCGACGCGCCGTGCCCAGGACAGGCCACCTGCACCGAATTAGGGGGGGGAGGGGAGGGCCCCCACGACCCCGTCGAGCACAGGGGAGTGCGCGGCAACGGAATTGTGGGGGGTTTTGCCTCCGCAAACGTCATAGGCAACGCTCACCTCAGACCAGGAGGTGCCATTGACCAGGGTCAAGTTCGCTCCACTGCTCTGCCTCTTCATGTAGGGGCGTGTCTGAAGGTTGGGCGCCGACGCCGACGGCGGCGCCGGGGTCTGCAGGGGCGGGCGCGGCCCGCCGAAGAAGAAGAAGAAGAAGAAGAAGAAGAAGAAGGCGCGGCTGCCGCTGATGCCAGAGGGCTTTGGCGGCACATGCGCTGCGAGCTTCCTCCTCCTCCTCCTCCTCCTCCTCCTCCTCCTCCTCCTCCTCCTCCTGTGGGCCCACAGCACCCTCCAGAGCACTGCGTGTGGAGCGCGCCGCACCACCACTTTCGGCACGGCGGCGTGAGGGCACGCGCGGCCGTGCGGCTGGAGCACGGCGTCCAGTGTGGACTTGGGATGAACGTTGTATGCCCGTCGCGGGGGCAAGTCGGCTTGGAACGCGCGTCCGGCTAATAACACCCGCTGCCATCATGCCTGGGCCTGGATTGTTGGTGAAATACCTATCGAGTGCCTTCTCAAGTCGTTCGGTAGCCTCTTGGAGCCAGTCTTGAAGCCTTTTGGGTCGCTTTTCGTCGCCTTTTTCTGGCATCATTTGGGCCTTTTGGGGGGGGCTGCTGCGGGGTACGGGGTCCTCTTGGGACGGAGGCCTCGAAATGTGGGGTCGGATTCCCCCCTTGGGGCACACCTCTGGGGGGGCCCTCTTGTGGCCGTCTTGGGCGAACCTGGGTGCCGTTGGGCCCGTTTGGGGGACCTCTTGGCCTCTCCTAGGCCCTCTTGGACCCCCGTTGGGCAGCCTTGGGGCCCTCTTGGGCACCATTTGGACCATCCTGGGGCTCTCTGAAGGGCCTCTTGTGCCGTCTTGGACGCTGCGTTTCTGCTTAAACAGAAGCCCACACACACAACCACAAACAAACAAACAAACAAACAAACAAACAAACAAACAAACACACACACACACACATACGCAAACACACACAAACACAAACACAAACACAAACAC